GTTCAGCCTGTCTGCAATTGTTTGGATTCCAAGTTTTATGATGAAGTTTTTACCATTCTGTGTCTCTTTGGTTACCTGTTAAGGATTCGAGGGTGCTTTCCTTCTCCACCTATTTTGTTATCCATCAAAATGCTAAAATATAGTAAAAAAATATCATGTCGGGTGGCGCAGTAGATCTGCGATTAATTTTGGCTGACACTATGCCTTAATTTTGGCCGATCTTTTGGGCATGTGATTTGAGGATCCAGCCTGGCGCCATGACAGTGACCTGATAGTGACCTGGTAGTTACCGTAGAACTGTCATAGAACTGTCATGGAACTGGTAGTTTGCCAGTTTCAGACCAGCTTGGATGCCGAGTTGTTATATCCAAGTATCTGGCCGAAATTGTGGAATAATGCTGGCCGGTACTGCGCCTTACTGCGCCGGTCACGTGATACTGTTCCGACGCCAGAACACCCTCCGTCGTATAACATATTGGTTAGTTTTGGCTGGCACTATGATGAAGATAACTCTAGCCTATTTTTGGTCACCCGATTTTAGGATCCATTTTGGCACCATAGTAGCTTCATAGAAGTGGTGAAGTACTAGCATAGTCCTATTAGTTCACTAGTTCCATATGCCAGTTTGGATGCCGAGTTATTATGACCAAAGATCTGGCCGAATTTATGATGAAGAATAGTACTGGCCGACATTATTGTTTATTTACTGCGCCTTGAGTTCCGGGCACTTTCCCGTCACTTTCCCGTCACTTTCTCGCAACTTTCGAGGGATCATAGTCAGGATATTTGACTACTGGGATATGCCAGCCGATTTTTATATAATAATTCCTAAGAAGGCTACCCGAATACACATACCCAGATACATACTAGTGATAGGGTAGGCAAGTGCCAATATTTATATAATAGATTACGCACTTACCTACCCTAAATGTCATTATTAAGAATATGTCCGTGGTTGGAGGTGCATTATGTACTATTATGGCCAGCGCGCATTTGTCTACTCTAGATGTCATATATGCCTGAGCACATACTAGTGATAGGGTAGTCTTCTTCCAATATTTTATATAATGATTACGGAGAAGACTACCCTAAATACCACCTACTGAGAATCAATTTATCCGCGATTCTCTTGCCAATCTGCTATACATCTCTTTTTGCAACTACCAAAAAAATTAATTAAACATTTCCGAATTTTATAGAGATAGTATAACTTGTCGAACTAACATCATGCATACACCAACTATTTCCAACCAAACTGATCGCACCGGAACCGCCCCAGCCCTCCGCTACGACGGCGCCGGCCCCGATGAATACTTAAGTGATACAGATAGCTATAATGATAATGATTCTGATTGTGGATCAGATGATTATAATAACTACGAGTCTAATTATGGGTCCGATAATGAAGAAGCTTCCTGCGCTTCAACCAGCACTACCGAAGCTGTAAAAGAACGAAAGGTTAATGTGACATATACTCTGAGGCAAGAAAACTTCAATGGTAAATTTTCCCTAAAGATTTGCTAAATGCCATTCGGGGGATCCTCTCATCATCGCCTAGAGATATGTCAGATGATAAAGGATCGTTGGATTGCCTCCCCATCTATTCATTCCTCTTTCCGAATGAAAAAGGCTCTAGTTTATATAACGCTTATGACCGAAGTGAAGTGGAAAATAAATTGGTTATAAAAATCGACCAAGATGCCGATCATGCCCCTAAATTTTCTGTTGCCGATTACATTTCTGAAGTTTATGGCTTACCTGGGATTCATGAATGTATTAATGGTCATAAACCTTTAAGAGCTGTGATTGACATAGATGCTTCGCAATAAGATATGGATTCAACTGGTGTTAAGGCGCAAGAAGTATTCTTTCGAATCTGCCTATCTTTCATAAGAGCTTTGTATCGAATTCTTGATTGTTGCTGGGAGGATATTCTCAATGGATTAGTAATCACTACATCATCAGACCCTAGCAAGTGTAGCTACCATATTTTATACGCACCGGCTCTCCTTATCGATCATCATGAACTCAAAGCATTTACTGAATTAGTATATACCATAACCGGTGAAAAATTCGGCAATTTTATTGATTGTATTTTGCCTGGTCATAATTTTAACCTTCGCCTAATTGGTTCTGCAAAAAAAGGTTGGGTGAAACGCATTCTCCAATTCTCTCTAGATAATGGCTGGAATGAACTCGATCACGTTAGGGTTCAACCGCCTCCTAGTTTGGGACTTGAAGTAAGACCTCGGATGCTTAGTGAAGAAAAAAATAATAATCCACTAAGAATAATCGTGGGTCAGGATGTATTGCAAAAATGCGCGAACCTTGTTTTGCAAAAGCATTCTAACTATCTTAGGGATTGGACTATCGAAGAAAAAGACTCAGAAAACTTCGTATATTTCAACTGGAAAGGTCTACTAGAATGTCCACTATGTAAACGTATACATGACAAGGATCAGCGGTGGTTCGGCCATGTATGCGCTAGCAGTGGGAGGTTCATCGTAAAATGTTTTCGGCAGAATAGTGACGAGCAGGGGTAGTTTTTGAATGCGACCCATCTATTGCAGAAAAAATTCAGCAAGAAAATAAAAATTCACCGCAAGTCTCTCACAAGGTAAGAGGCCCTGGCTTCCCTAAAGCCTTCGTAAAAATGCCACCCTGGGTTAAGTATAATGAAACCCTTACAGCGACAGAAATATATGAGGAGAGATATGTAAGACCATTACCCAATGAAGGCGATATCTATGTTGGATCACCTTGGGAGACAGGAAAAACATATGTTCTAGAGCATCTTACTATATCTGATGACGTGAATTTGCTAGTATTATCCACGCGCCACTCCTATTCGAATGCAGTTACTACCAGACTTAATCTCAAATCATATTGTGATATCGATGGTAATATAAATCTACCTGATCATAAGAGGGTAGTGTGTCAGATAGAAAGCTTACATCGGATTACAAATAATTGCAAATGTAATAAAAAATGCAAATGTCTTCCAATCCAATATGACTTGTGGCTTGATGAAATAGTGTCTATAATTGCTCAAGCACAAAGTCATCTGGCAGGTCAATCGATAGAGAAGTTATATAAATTGATCCAAGACGCGAGGCGCATTATTGTAATGGATAATGACCTAACTGACCTTAACATTGAATGGATTAAGGCCCTTCGTAAGAATATACCTCTCTCTATTATCCACAATACTTACCAGCCTCAGAAAGGTAAGACATTCCGCTTGGCTCCTAATAAAGAAACAGTATTAGCTGAACTTTGGGAATGGGCTAAGCAAATGTCTTTATTACCTTTTGAGAATCGGACAAGCGTATCGCTCATCTGTCACCTTAGAAAAGATGTGCAAGGAATAGTTCGTGCTCTCAAGACTGATTTTCCAGAATTACGGATCAAGGAATACCACGGCAAGTCTGATCCGGTAGAAAAGGCTCATGACTTCAGCAACGTGGAAGAGTCGTGGAAAGATGTAGACTTAGTTGCCTATACAAGCACTTTAAAAATAGGAGTATCCTGCACTAATCCTAAGTTCAGACGGGCATTCTGTCTTTTTAATAGCTACATAGAAACAAATGCCGGGACGAATCAGATGTTATTTCGCATGCGGTTTATTAAGGATTATATATGTCATATTGAGCAGAGATCTTCTAACGTCCCCATCACAGAGAAAGGTTTATTCCAATGGTTGTTGAATGCCAAACGGGAATGTCTCCCCCGGGAACTTCAGAATAGAGGAATATTTCCAGATATA